ATTTTTAAGATTTATCGAACATTTCAGTCAATAAGTCTCGTTCGTATTAAACGAGACGTCTGTTCGTAGATCATCCTATTTGTTTAGGATGAAAAAACGACAAAATATCTTTTACTCCTTGAAAAACCGTGCACAAAAACGTCTCCGTGCACATTTCTGTCTTTTTGCTGTGCACCTTTCTGTAACCGTGCACAAAATGTCAAAAGATTTTTTAATGTACGGAAAATAGCAAACCGTGCACAATTCCGGAAAAAACCGTGCACAAAAAACATTTTTCCCTAAAGTCTTGAGCATTCATATCTCTTATTTTGTCTTATTTATTTCTATTGATAAAATAGAATGACGTCAGTCTTTAGTTCTCAAAGAAATATATTCCACCAAATGTCGATTTACCAAATTATTCCCAGAGTGTTCAGCAAGCATTATCTCATGGTGAATAATACAAAAAAGAAATCGATCTTTTAGAGAAAAACCTTTTTCTCTTGTGGCAGAGGATTTGAACGACGGCACCAAATTGACATCAGACGGACAGTTAGGCCTTCAGAAACCCGTTTTCGGGAAAACCAGTTTTTCAGAAATTGTAAAAAATAACAAAAACCTTTTTTAATGAAGTATAATTGTAGCCCGCAGATTTCGAATTAAAATGAGACGTCTCTCAGCTCTACAAGACCATTCTTTGCAAAGTTATAGAATTTACACAAAACGTCCTAAAATGTTCATTGCCAACTCAACGCTACAGAAATCAGAAATTAATTTAGCACTTGTCTAGTAGATTCTATAAATTTGCAAAGAAGGGGCGTGTAGAGCTGGGAGATATCTCATTTTAATCAGAAATGTGCGGGCTACAATCATGCCTCATTAAAAAAACTTTTTGTTATTTTTTCGAATTTCTGAAAAACTGTTTTTTCAGAAAACCGGATCTTCAAGAGCCATGGGGAAAAATGCTTTATGCCATTCTAATCAGCTCATCGAGCTCTACAAATTAGGATATGTACTATTGAAAAGTGATAGTAACACTTGGGGATCTTCATTCGTATGGTAGGCACAAAATGCCAACTCATCCTTACTGTGCAGAAAAAACAATGCCAGTCGTCGATCGTGTTGTGAAGCGTCGGTAAGAAACAGATCTCACTTTTATCTGTCAATTCATATCTGTCAATTCAGTCATTGCCAACGATTTCGTTCGAAAAGAGAATGTGACCATGTTGACAGAAAATGAAAATTCAGATTTGATGATCACTTTAAACGAACTCGACGTTGAGTTATATACAACCAGCGCGTACAAGTCCTGATGGCAAATGTCGCTCGAGAGCATTTGTCGCAAGAGCAAATTCTCAGAAGCAATCGATGTGGGAACGTCTTTTTGGGGCTCATGTGGAGTGTAGCGGTTTAGTCCAAGAAATCTGTGTTTCATTTTGCTTCACGAGTTTAAACGGTGTGCTACGTAATATCTTTATATTACATATGTTAGCAGTTTTCTAAATATTCTAACAGATTTTTGCTCAGAACGGCATAGTCTTGACCTGTGGCGACAGTGAGAATTCTTTCTCCAAGCTAAGTAATTATATTAGTACGAAAGTGAAAAAAGTATTTGTTTGACATCGATAATGCAGGTAAATATTGCTTTTATTTGAAAGTTTGTCCTATGACGTCATGTTTACTGTGTTTCAAAATGACTCAAACGATATTTTTATATTCATTGTAGTTGCGCAAGGTGCAAGAAAATCGGTAAAATTCTAAAAATAAAGAAGTTGATAGTTTTTCTCCCTGTTCTCTTTACTTCTTTTATAGAAAAATATGAATGATTGCAGATATGCAGATGAGAAACGATACAAGGAGATGTTCTGCGATTCACTCAGAGCAGCAAGTAAGCTGCCTGATCATCCAGAACAGTTAAGCGGCGTGTGCGCTAACTGTGGCAAAATTGGCAAAGTACAAAAAGATCATCTAATCGAAATTCAAGTATGGGGAGAGGCTGCTTGTGGATGGTTCCATAAGATGACAACGTTGGAGTTCCTCAAATTAGCACAGATTGTTAATAGCAGTGAAAACCTTCAAGCTCTTTGTCAGTCGTGTAACAGTAGTAAAGGACAATTGTGGAAACTGTTGTTGCTAGATCCTACAAAAAGCTTTAATGGAAAATATGCGCATACTATTGACAAGCACCGTGAACTTGTTCAGCGATTTGGAACTGTTCTGGATAGATATTATGATACAGATATACCTGCAGCCACTCCAATGATTAATCACGTTTTGTTTCAACTTCACGTCATCGTCCGACATCTATTTCCGAGTATGCCACCACTATGAAATCGGCATTATCAGAACAGTTATTTATTAAACAGTACAGGTCGAGAAATCTTACGAGTAATCCGTGACATGACTCTTTCGCGAACACTTTCCACGGACCGGAGTCATATTTTAAACACTCCTGTTTATATAAAGCAGAAAAGGTTCCGTAACATCTGTCACCGACAGCCGGAAGGAGCAGCGCAAGAACGTGAAAGTGAACCACCTAATAATATTAGTTCAGAGCGCAGAGATTTGGTTATGTTAAGAAGTTGATATTGGAGTTAGTACTCGGTAAAGTTACGTATGGACTGGGATGAGTCCATAGTCAAGACCAGTCCAGTTCATGTGGACTGGATCGGACTGAAAATTTGTTGAGTTCATAGACTCGGAATGGCTGGATCCAAACGTTCAAGATCATGGACTGGACTGGACTCGAAAAAAATTTCGGATTCACTTGAATTGAGGAAAAACAGGTTGTTTTTGTATTGTGGACTGTGCTGGACCACTCTTTTAGAATCCATGGACTGAGAAAACTGTCTTTCATGGATTCGGACTGGACTAGAATTTTGCGTCCATACGGAGTTCAGGTACTCGATTTGCAGAAAAGTCACTGAATGCTACAAATCATGGGGGATTTCGTCTGTATCCTATGCTGATAGGATATTTTAGAAACCTATCCACAGCTCCTGCCAAAACCTACGGCAGGTCATTCTGTAGAATTTCTGTTATAGTCCTAGGGGACTTCTTGAGTGATTAAATCTTTTATCCCGCATCTTAGAAATTCCTGAATCACCGCTTTGTTTTATACTCTTGTTTGAATATACGTAAGAATATTTTCATGTTACGCATAACTTCAAATTTTCAAGTCAATCGGCATAATGGAACGAGCAGTGAGTATTTTTCAAAGCTAATAGCGCCACGTTGTAGAGCACTCTCTCTAACATAAGGAACTATAATTTATGTCATTGTATCGCGGATAGATCAAGAAATAATAAAGCCCAACCAGAGTCGTTCATGAATTTAATTATAAGGGCTTATGTGGTCCGTAAACTAAAATGCATGTACAGAACGAAAGAAAGGCTTTTTTTATAAGTATTTGGTATGAAACAAATCGACAGAAGTTAGGCTTTGTTTTGGCCAACTCGTTTACCTCTCAGGTCTTATTGTTTAGTTAAAACAGTTTTATCAAAACCTCCCCAAATGTGGTGTGATTACGTTACCAAAATGTGCTTTTAGTTTATTTTTCGAAAATAATAGAAGAAATTTCATCTGTTCGTCACTGATCGATCGCTAACTTTCGACGTGCTATCTGATGTTGGCTTTGAGGAAGAAAAAAGTACGATACCAAATATCGCTAAAAAAAGCTCTTGCAACTTTACGCTTTTGTTTTTTTCCATACAGCTTTTCTATTTTAAAAAACGGAAACGCATCACTGAGGAGAAATAGGCGTGTTAAATGAGAAAACTATCTTCGAAACGCCCGATCGTATTGAGCTCTCGTTTGGTTTATAAGGATTTCTCGATGTGTTCTTTAATTTGTTACGAGAAAAATCTTACCCTAAATGCTTTAACCCTTTATCCCTGGATGTCCACACCCGTGGACATTGACAAAATCGATATACAAAAATAACGACGTGTCATATCTGAACCGGATATTGTTCCAACCTTATTGACTTCATAAACTCTCGATTAGTAAAAACGAATTTGTTTTCTATGGATCGTGACTGTGATAATTAACTTTTGTAATGAAAGAGTTTCAAATTTTTGAATTTTTTTAAAAGCTTTATCATAGCTTTAGCCATACGAGGATTTTCAGATATAGTGGTAGATAACTATTGCTACAAGGATCCTTTCTACAAATACACAAGAAAAGAAATTTTCTATGAAGTTGTCTTGATGTACCGAAATATTCACACCTGTGGACAATAGGGGGGAGTGATGCTCATACAAGATGTCGATTGCTGCAAAACGAGAAATTGTACCGCATCGGAATTTTCGGTAGGAGAACATCGTCGTCTTAACCCTTTCAGGACCGGTCAATTTTTATATATTCAGTGCTCTTCATAAGTTTAAGACCTTTTTTATTTTCCAATATCTCGGCTTTCCTGACAGATAGAGACTTCATCCTTTCGTCAAAAGAAAGCTATCACTAAACTCTACCATATGTGAAAATATCGTTAAGTTTTAACTTATTTTGGCAGAGTTAGGTAGAAAACAGGATTT